ATTAATATTACTGTATACGTTGCTAAATTACTGTCTCCAGCAGGGATGGAACTGTCGGAGATAGTAATTTAACTGTTAATTGACTTTTTTTTTCTTAAAAAAAATATTTTAATTAATTTTACTGTCTTGGCTGCTAAATTACTGTCTCCGGCAGCTATTTAACTGTCGGAGACACTAATTTAACTGTTAATTGACTGTTTTTTTTTTTCTTCAAAAATATTTTAATTAATAGGACTGTATTCGTTGCTAAATTACTGTCGCCGGCAGTTATTTAACTGTCGGAGACAGTAATTTAACTGTTAATTGACTTTTTTATTCTTAAAAAAATATTTTTAATTAATATTACTGTATTCGTTGCTAAATTACTGTCTCCAGCAGTTATTTAACTGTCGGAGACAGTAATTTAATTGTTAATTGACTTTTTTATTCTTGAAAAAAATATTTTTAATTAATATTACTGTATTCGTTGCTAAATTACTGTCTCCAGCAGTTATTTAACTGTCGGAGACAGTAATTTAACTGTTAATTGACTTTTTTTTTTTTTTTAATTTTTTTCCTTACAAAAAAAATTATTTTAATTAATATTACTGTGTTGGATGTTAAATTACTGTCTCCAACAGTAATTTAACTGTCTTAGACAATAATATTAATAATATTACTGTTCGGAAAAATAATATTCATAATATTACTGTCCCAAACAGTAATATTACTGCTAGAGACAGTAATTTAGTAGTCAAGACAGTAATATTAATTAAAATATTTTTTTCCTAAGAAAAAAAATTCAAAAAAAAAAAAAAAAAAAAAAGTCAACGCCGGAGACCGGCGGTCAACGGTGGTTGACCGGCCGGAAAAAAATTCAGGAAAAAAAAAATTCCAAAAAAAAAAAAAAAAAAAAAAAAATCAACGCCGGAGACCGGCGGTCTCCGCGGCGGTCAACGCCGGAATCTGGCCGGAAAAAAACATTTCAGAAAAAAAATTATTTTCTGAAAAAAAAAGTTTTGGGGGTTAATGTGATATATTTGTTTAAATCCGTGGTCAATGTGTAATATTAAGGAAGTTAGAGCATAATGGGTGGAATTGTTAAGAATTATATTATTGAGGGTATTTTAGACTAAAGACATGGGGATGGGCTTAATTGAGAGACTGTTTTTTTTGTGGACTAAAATGCATTTAAGTCCCATGTGATGGGCTTTTTTGTCATTTGCCCATTAATTAAACAAGTTTACTGGAGTCATGTTTTATTTTTATACTGTATGATAATTTGTTATGAATTTGCTAATTTATAAAGAATAAAAACAATTCTCTGCAAAATGTATTGATGAAAAATGTGAGAAACATTTAATACAAACTGGACAAAAACTCTATCACAACTACACTATTCTACCAACTTTAAGTGATATCATAAAGCATAAAAGAAAAATGCGGATATTGATGGTCTATAAATAGAAATACTCCAGAGGAGTCTTGGGGAGCAC